GTGTGAGGAGAGAAAACAGAGGACAACCTTGTGGACCCATGTGCTGAGTCATTCCTCCATACAGGAGAAGCCATCTTTCTCAGGCAAAGCTTTCCCATTCTTGCAACTTTTGCCTGGGGGGAAGAAATTGCCCCACCCCTTGTAAACTGGCTCCTGAAGAGACTGAGACTAACAATGTGCCTGCAGGCGTCTGATTGTTCTGAGTGTTTGTCTGACCTGCCTCTGGGCCCTGGCAAGAAAAAACAGTCCTTGGTGCACAACTTGGTCTTTCCCACTAGCATCCAGCCCTAGCAGAGGTAACTACAAGCTATGGGTTGCTGATAGCTCTAAGTAGGGCCAGTCACAAACAGCACCTGACCAGAGACCTGGCCTGTACCAGAGACACTCCAAAGAGGCTTAAAACCAATAAGCCCAATGGTAAACTTCAAACAACAGAGCAGGATCCAATAGCTCCAGAAGAAGAATACACAGGATCCAAAATTTTCAGAGAATTCCATTTTGTGTGATAAGTAACTGCATTGCAGACTGCACACTGTGTTGGGGGTTGAGTTTCACTGTCAGCCAGCCTGAGGGTTCAGCCCACACAGGAATGAGCCAATAGCAATCAAGACTCAATAGTACTTATGCCTTCTGCAGGATGTAGATTTTCCTTAAAACCCTCACTCTTGAGGTTGAACCCTCGGGGGTGCAATAGAAAATATACTAGTCAAAGCCAAGATCCAGGGTAAGGAAGGAATTCCTCCCAATCAGCAAAGACTGATCTTCACTGGCAAGCAATTGGAAGACCAATGGATATACTTTGACTACAACATTCCAAGGAGTCCACTCCTCGTCTTGTGTTGAGAAAGGGAAGAAGTCTTACACCACTCCCAAGAAGAACAAGCATAAGAGAAAGAAGATTAGGCTGGCTGTCCTGAAATACTACAAAGAGGGTGAGAAGGGCAAAAGCAGTCGCCTTCTTCGGGAGTGCCCTCAGATGAATGTGGTGCTGGAGTTTTCATGGCCAGCCACTTGGACAGACATTATTGTGGCAAATGTGGTCTGACCTGTATAATGCTTCAACAAACCAGAAGACAAGTAATTGTATTTAGGTTAATAAAAGACATGAACTAAATTGAATTGTTTAATTTTATTCCAGTGAACTTTTTTTAAGCATCAAAAGTTGATGGATCAAATTGATAGACAATACTTTGGCAGAAGAATCCCATTATATTTAATATCAGCTGTCTAGATAATAAACCAGTTTGTGTTTATGTTTTAAAAAAAAAAGGACTCAATTGTAACGGGAGGGCACACACAGAGTGCATACAAGGAACATTATTAGACTTAGGTCTGGTGATCGGAGAAACTGTACCACTGGATCCCACAGGTCACCCACTGTATGACATCCACCATGGCTGGGAGTCATAGCAGATCTACCTCATACATGGAAACAAACCCAAAGCGTCAGCCAAAAGAAACAAGCCCCAAGAGAAAGAACTGTAATACTTTCAACAATAAAGATGAATTTAAAACAAAATAAAAAGTTTAAAAAAGGAAAAACGGAGCAAAATATGTTATTTTAAATAAAATGAAGTTCAAAAGTGCTATATTCAACAATGTGAATGTTCTTTATGCCACTGAACAGTATACCTAGAAATTGTTAAAATGGTAAGCTTGTATTATGTAATAAAATTTATATACTGTCATAAAAACAGCTGTATCATTTTTAAATTATTTATAGTAAGAGAACTGCCATTGGACCTGACATAGTACATTATACATGTGAAAATAGATTGACCTAAACATACAATGTTTGAATTATGAATTAATTATTCTGAAAAATAAATATTCAAAACATGTAATAGACTTAAAAACATAAAAATATTTTTCAATCCATCCTTTATAGGTAGGATCCCTTAAACAGGAAACTCTATTAGTATATTTTTATTTAACCCTATAAGGGGTAAAAAAGCTCCTTTTTAAAATATTAACAGTAACAGATATTAATAATTACAAGCTTGCTGTATACCAGAAGTTCAGCTGGACATTTCATGGATATTATCTTTAATTTTAGTCCCATGAAAATAAAATAATCTCTACTCCATTCCTCAAGTCCCCAGATTACAAACCTTAATGCTACTAAAACATCTCTTTCCGAGAAGGGAAAAATAGGTCACATCCATAGGATTTTGTTCATAACTGACTTTAGAAACTCCAGATAATCATTTTTATGGTTCATTATTATTGATACAGAATGTGAGTAAATTTAATAGTTCCTCATAAGTTAGACAGGCTCAAGCCATTCAATGGATAGGTTCCTTTAAAAGGATGTTTGCTGCCGAAACCGGTTTGGCTCAGTGGATAGAGCGTCAGTCTGCAGACTGAAAGGTCCCAGGTTCTATTCTGGCCAAAGGCATGTATTACATTGGTTGCAGGCACATCCCCGGTGGGGGATGTGCAGGAGGCAGCTGATCGATGATTCTCTCTCATCGATGTTTCTAGCTCTCTATCCTTCTCCCTTCCTCTCTGTAAAAAATCAATAAAATATATTAAAGTGGACAAATCCTTCACATTCTATTTTTTAAAAATAAATAAATAAAAGGATGTTTGCTATATAGAAAAACTGTAAGTCACTAGACATTTTTTTTTCCCATTTTGCTTAACTAAATAAGACTAAACAGGTAATATTACCTCAGAGGTCTGCATACTTAATGTATTGACTATAACATAACTTTTCATTTTGGTGTAATATAAGGTTCTGCTTTTCTTCTCATGCTCACTGTTACACATCCAAAAAGCTTGCTATTTTAAACTGAAGTAACACCAAGATTTATTCTAAGGTTGAATAAAAGCAAGAATTTTTTGAAGTGGCTTTTCATTGTTTGAATATTTTTATTCTGATCTGAGCACATTCAACTTTTACATTTTGAGAACAAGGATAAAAAGAACAAAGTGGAGGCGAGAATGGGTTTCACTTTAAAATGTATTCCACCACAGCCTCCAGTGCAACCTCTGTCAACCTGGCTATGGAAACACAAAAAGTTAAAAGCTAAAATGTTACCAGCCTCTTACCTTCCAATTTTCCAATTCCAGAAACAAAAACTCACAGAACTAGGCAGAAAGGGGACGGTGATGTCTCTGAATGTATATGTATGTTGGGGAAGAAGGTCTTGGGGAAAGGGGTACTTGAGTAATGACACTAGGAAGAACAAGTTTTGCATTGGGAGAGGTAATATTTCCCAAAATATTTATAAAGATCAAAAAGACATAGCTATTATAAGCAGGTATAGAAATGTATTCATGCCGAAACCAGTTTGGCTCAGTGTATAGAGCGTCGGCCTGTGGACTGAGAGATCCTTGGTTCGATTCTGGTCAAGGGCATGTACCTTGGTTGCAGGCACATCCCCAGTGAGGGATGTGCAGGAGGCAGTTGATGGATGCTTCTCTCTCATCAATGTTTCTAGCTCTCTATCCCTCTCTCTTCCTCTCTGTAAAAAAAATCAATAAAATATATTTTTAAAAATGTATTCATTCACTCACTCAAATAATATTGTATGGGTGCTGAGTAGGGGCAGGTACTATTCCAGGCACTTAAGATATATTAAAGGGGGCGGGGGAGGTAAAGAATCCTGCCTCCAAGGACTTGCATTCTTGTAAGGCATAAATTGTATAGTGTGTGAAGAGCTGAAGAGTTCTGTGAGAAGAATAAGAAATCAGAGCAGGATAGTGAAGTTAGAAAGAACATGGTAGAACATGGAAATTAATAAGAGCTGAATTTGAGGTGGTTTTTATTGTGTCTCAGAATCATGGCTTATAATAGGATAATCAGACTTATTTTGTTAATACATTTAGTCTTCCTTCTGTCATTACACACTTTGTTTTTTGTATTTTCTTGCTGCTTCCTTCTTCCCTTTGTTTTTGCTAAGCAGCCCATTTTATTTCTCTGTCTAATGTTTTCAAAAATATTATCCTAGTGATGGTTGCTCTTAAATTATGTATATCTAACATTTCTTTTCCAATCTGAAATAAGCTAAGCCTTGAGGCAAGGACTTCTGTATTCTATCTCTGAGCCTAACACAAAGTAGGAGTACTAAAACACATTTATTCTATGAGTGAATAAGTTAATAGTAGGTATTAGCTAAATGATCACAGTTCTGCTCTTGGGACAAAGATAAACTCTGGAGGCGGAAACAGAAAGCAGATGCAGAGAAAGGTGGGAAAGAATGCTATGGAGGAGATTGCCTCTATCCCAATCCTGACCAACTTGGTGATTTTGAAAAACTTATCCATGCTCTTTGCACCTCTATTTTTTTTTTCACTTGAAAAATAAGGGAAGTGAAATAGAACAATGATCCATTACCTTCCTTTTCAAACATTATGGGAGTTTGATCTGGAAGTGAACTTTAAACTATTAACACAAATGTCAAGATACTACACAAAGGATCCACAGAATTTTTTTCATCCTTTTCCACAAACATTTCCTACATAATCCACCACACAACAACAACAAAAATGTTTCATCGTTTTTTTCAATTTGCATGCAATGGAAAAGCATATGTGTGAGAAATTATGTAGTAATAAATAATCAGATTTTTTTTTAGTATCAGTCAGTTCTGTAACCAAATATTATTCTGATCAATAAAAATTGCTATCATCAGATTTCTGGTAAATACATATACCATTACTTATACCATTTTTAGTACTGCTCCACACCTTGGTTCTTCACAATTACTAACATAGAAAACTGTGGCAAAGTAGGTGCAAGCATTTGCAAAAACAAACAAAATCCCCAGCTTAAAGCATGAATACGTATGATGGAATTTCTTCCCAACCAATGGACTTTCAAACCATCAAATCACCAGAACTGCCCAAGCTCTGGCTGTGTGGCTTAGTTGGTTGGGGTTCATCCCATGCATCAAAAGGCTGCTGGTTTGATTCTTGGTCAGGACACCTGCCTATGTTGCAGGCTTGATCCATGGCAAGGATTGTGCAGAAGGCAGCTGATGAATGTTTCTCTCTTTCTCTCCCTCAAAAATCAATAAAATACCTTTTTTTAAAAATCTCTAGAACTGAACTGAATTTACCAAAAGGTTTTTGCCTAAGTCAAGGAAGAGATACATTTATTTTCAACAGAGGAGCTGAAATTAAAAGCCAGTATTAAGTATAAGACAGGTTAGGGGATTCAGCCATTAGAAAAATGACCATCTTTTGAAAAAATGACCACTAAAAATAAGTTCATGGAATTTATTTTTTTTAATCATAAAACATTTCTTACAAAAGATCATTTAATTGTTCACACTGCTCTGAATAGATGCCAGGGACATGTGGACTATTGTTACTTTTCCTCCTTGTCCCAGCCCCCAAAAATGTTGAAGTGATCACAAAGCAAAGTGTTCACAATAATTTCATAGGGAAGATTTTCCTTTTTAACAACCAGCAGTGAATACATATTAAAATTCACTCACTCTGTTGCTGATTCAAAATTTCAGTGCGCGCGCACACACACACACACACACACACACACACACACCTGTTTATAAGGGAAAAAAACATTACATCTGATAAACAGCAAAGATTCCACTACACTTCAAATACAGAACACTTATGAAGCATAGGCATGTTGGCTTTTTAAAAAGAAGCAGATAGGGTTTGTTGCCTTTTGAAGAGTCACAGATCTTTTAGAGAAACCTATAAAGGCTACCAGTCTTAGCCACAAAAGCATTTTTATATATATGCATATATTATGAGAAATAACTTGACATGTTTTATAAGATCACAAAAACTTTTAATCTGTATATTGCTAATACCATAAAAATATCAATAAAATATAGTGTTTAAAGGTAATTAGATAATTCACACACTCACACACACACACACACACACACACACCCTCTCCATTCTTAATAAAGAAAACTCCTAACCATCCAAGGTGACAGAAAAGCATTTAGCAAAAGAAAGAAATAAACAATAAATAGTTGTCATGAAATTTTTTGAAATATCAAAGTCCAATATCTTCTTTTAAGTCCTCATAACATATTTACTTTAAGTAGGGATGAAGTTGTTTAAGTTTGGCTTTTCTTGACAAACCAACTCTGATTGGACGAGTGCATGTCTTAATAGGTAGTACTCTTGAAATTCCATTTGAAAAATTACTACCTAAAAATATAAGACAATAAAAGTATTTAAAGGAAAAAATTACTCATAGTTTCTAAGAATTTTGATAACTTTTAATCATATAGAAACTTTACTGAGTCACTGAAGTGCTTTAAATGAATTAGCTTACTTAATCCTATCTCCATTTTTAAAATGTAGAAACCTCAGCACAAAAGATAAATAACTTGGCCAATATAAAATACAAACTAAATAAAAGCATCATTTTAGTCAGGCAGTTTGACTTAACAACAAAACTACATAGATTTTTTTTTAAGTATTGATTTTCAAGTGAAACACTGATTTATTGTTCCACTTATTTATGCATTCATTGTTGATTCTTGTATGTGCCCTGACTGAGGATGGAACCCACAGCCTTGGTGTATTGGGACAACACTGTAACCAGCTCAGCTACCTGGGCGTATATAGATTTTAAAGTTATACTTGATATAGCGGTTTTAAACACCATGTCATTTTTTCTTATTAGAAGCTAAATAATTAAACTATACTATTAATGATTATGTTTTATTTCTAATAGAGATTATCAATAATAGAATGCAAATGCATTTCAAAACAGCTCAAAACATTTTATGAAGATATATCTGTTATTAAATCAATAACCAGACAAATAGAATCAACTACCCTTGATAATAAAATACAATACCTCTAATTTTCAGAGTGCTTTATTTTAAAAATTGAACAGTAGGATACATATTTAAAGCTAAAAATGTATCAAGCTTTATGAATTAGTATGATCTTAATATAAAAGCACATTATACTCAACATAGTGTAATCAACATAACTTCAAATCTGACAAAAGAAAAACAACATAATTTCTACTAAGTTTAACAAAGCAGAATGTGTATAAACAATAATCAAATAAAATGCAAAATTTAGCTATATGTAAAAAGGGAGGAAACAACATAATATAGCTACTCATAAAAAATTATAAAAATTGCTAAATTATTTTTTAAACAAAAAAAGATTATTCAAATAAACACAAAATTAATGGATGTCTGATACATTAGATTTGGTTATAAATTAAGTAATGTCAGCAATTTATGCTAAGTGTACTTCTACATTACAAGATTTTTATTTCAAAACAAAGCCATGATTGGTCTATTTTATTACTTTTTCAAAGTATTATAACTTTCCTCGTTCATATTGTAAGATGACAGATACTTCTGATAACTTTGCAATGGGTGGGAAATCACTAAACCAATTTCTATAAACAGTAGGCCTTTTGCAAAGGCCTTAAATAGTGATCAAATTGTAGTTGTAAGGATGTGCTTTTTTGTAACCTTGGATATCCTACCTTTTATTAAATAAATTATGACCCTTTTTATTATTGCTATATACTGGATTAATGTATTGCATTATATCATTTAACAATTCTAAATATTCAAATATATTGTACTACCAGAAATGGTTCATTTTAAAAATGAATATTTAGAAAATTTATGAAACGTATTAGTCATCTTTTAAAAATAATACTAACTCTATTGTTTTCTAAATACTTGCAATGTTAAGTACAGTCCACAAGCTAGCAGCATCTAGGCACTTGTTAAGAACCAGAATCCTAATGCCTATCCCACAAAAGAGCCATAATTGTTTAGAAAGATACCCAGGTCATCTATATATATAAAAGGCTAATATGCAATGTGTCCCCTTGGGAATTCCACCAGGAGTTTGATCACACACTATGATGTGCACTGACCACCAGGGGGCGGCATGGAAGGCCCCGGCCAGCCCTGATCACCAATCAGGCCTAGGGACCATACCATGAACAAATCTCATGCACCAGGCCTCTAGTTTGTATATAATTTAAAATTAGGGGAGAATGGATGCTGAATGGTATTTAAAGCACCTGGCACACTGGCTGGCAGGCATATAACACATGCTCAAAGTAATCCCAAAATACTTACCTTCTCCACAGATAGAGAAGAGAGACACAAAAGAGTTTACAGGATGTTACTGGAGACACAAGTGGCAGAAACTTTAATTGGAGGCATCATGATGACAGGTGAGTATCAAAAGCATTTCAGCACAATCAGAGGTTTCCTAATGCCTTTAAAATCACTCTGTATAAACAGGCCTTATCCCTATTTCCCAGTCTCTCAGCTATTCCTTTACACTACCGATTTTTAACACGTCTTAGGAATAGTATCCCAATTGGGGATAATCTTTGTAAGTAAATCCAAGACAACTATTCTAACACAATATTAAATAATTCTGGCTGACCTCCACATTATATGCCATATTTTATAATAATGAGGCACTTTTTCTTGCAAAGATACAGTAAGTAGTATAGGTTCAAATATGTCCAACAAATGTAACATTTTTTAAATTTGTGCACATAATTTAATCTTTCATTTCATACATTTCATTATCACAATTATAATCATGATGAATATAAGTGTATGTTGCCTAATCTTCCTCCATTCTATCTCAAAATTAACCCAAGTTCTTCCTTTCTTTCCATCCTAGAAGAAGCAACTCCTATCCTTTCCAGGCTAATTCTGCCACCTGCTTTAGTTTCATAGAGTATTGATACCTCAGTTATTCTCTTTATCCATGGGAGAAGAAACTAGCTGTGGGCTTTTTATCTTCCAGGACTTGGATTAATTTTTAAGATTATTTTATTGTAAGTTTAGAAAAAGGAAAAGCTGCATTATGGAAGTGGCTGAATAGAAGCCAGGAACATGTTTTGAGAAATGATAAATGACTGAAGATGTTTTGGTAAATATATTTCACCTACATCATTATTCTTGCTAGCTCTGGTCTTGTGTAATACTAGCAGTTTCTGACCAAATAAAGTTTTAGTCATTTAGAAAACAATTACTCAATGTAAATCTTACCCTGTGTCTCATTCCAAGGTACTATTATAAGTTAGACTAGACGTTAGACTTGCTGTGATTTATCCTGATATTATAGACCTTTTAGGCAAATGATGAGGCTAGTTTAACTTTTCATTAGTTTGTTTAGTAGTAATCAAAATTTAAATTCCATAGTCATAAATCATGTTAATATAGCTAAGTGATACTAAAATTTTTAATTACTAAATAAAATGTCTACATAAAGAGCCTCATAATAATTAAAGAATAGAGAACATTGATGATAATTATATAACTGTGAGCAACATCTCATCAATGAAAATTCAACTTAGTTAAATGCTTTTTGTTTTGCCAATTAATGTTACACATATTAGATTGTATATTAAACATGTACTACATCTATCTTATTACATAGTTATTTCAATGCAAACCAACAAATAATTAAGCAGTTTTGAAAAGCACATTTCCCAATAATATTCTTTTAAAGCTAATATTCTAAAATGCCAATTTTTAACTATTAGAATTTGCTCCAGTACATTATTAATATTTACAAAGGTACTAAATCTTTATATTTATTTTCTAACAACTTAAGTATATTTTCCTTATACTGAAAAATACAAGAATGCAATAATTATCTTAGAAGGTATTTTAGAAAATAATCAAAAATCTTACCTCCCTTCACTATATAATTAATTCTTTCTTCCTTAAATTCATCAGAGGAAAACGTAGATCTTTTGGGTGAGAGTTTCTCACAATCTGAAAATAAAGATCAATATATATTACTGTAAGTTTTATATAAAATGTTAGTATTAAACAAGTTACTTTTTCAAAAACATTCCTCTCATTGGCTCCTAATATTGAGATAATTGCTTCAAAGCTGCTTGTAAAAATTTTATCACTTGTCATCTTCAAGTTCAATATTTAATGTTGGAACAGTTCTTTATAGAAAATAATGTGCATCAATCAACATTGCTTACACTTTATCTCCCTTTTGCCAAAATTATATATTTGGCCTACACAGAAGGAAAAGGCTGCAATTTTTTTCTATCATAAGAAAAACCATTTTAAAACTAATTTTATACCTTCCTCAGAAGTTGAATAGAGTACTTCTTCCTCTGATGTTCTTAAATAGGAATGTCCATTAGGAACTTCCTGTTCTCTGTTTCTTTGTACTGTTTCCCAGTTAAATAAACTTTGGTGTCTTTTATGCTTATTAGGACCTGCGTTAGCATCACAGAGCGAAGATGCACAGATTTTGTTGACTTTACCTATTTTCAAATCTTTTTTTATCTTTGCTTTTACCGCCTCCACAGCATTATTTTCTCTAAAGTAATTTTCTTGCCTATTGTTTGTTTCCACGGTGCTAGGAATTTCATTTTCCTTGCTGATTTTGTGAAACATATGAAGTTCTTCAAGAACTAAATCAAATTTACTTTTCATCTCAAAATCTTTGGCTATTGTCATAACTTCTGTTGGTAAACACTTGGCAGTCAAATCCTGAAAACATTCATTGTTCCCTACACTCAGATCAGCTTCCAATTGATGTTTAACACATTCTGGAGACTCATTCTTTGGATAAAAATGCTTTAAATTAGCTAACTCACTTTCTTGCAAAATTCTCTCATATTCCTTTTTGTCAGCAAGATTATGTTGATTAACATATTTAGTCCCTTCCACATTGTCTTTCCTACTCATTAAGGAAACTGGTTGCACAGAAAAAATGCCATCCATTAAATAAAACCTATTTTTCTCTTCCTTTTCAATCTTAATATTTTTATGAACTTGGTGACCGTATGTTAAACTTTGTGCTATGACATTTCTTTTCTCCTTTAAAATTGAGTTATTTCTTTTTGTTTCAATTTCACTTTTTAGCAAGCTCCCAAAATTTTGAACTTGAGTTGAAATCTTGGGATTGGTTTGTTCAGTATGTTTTGTGTAGTGGCTTGCTGGTATGGCTTGTTGCCTAACATTGACGATATCTTCAACAATGCACTTACAATTAAAGCTACTAATCTTGCTATGCTTTTGTTTTCTTTCAGTATCTAAATTTTCATTGTGCATATTTATTTCATGAAAGTTTTCATTAATATATTCATAATTGTTCTGTATGAGTTGAGGAAGAGAATTAACATGCATTTTCACAGTATTTGTACTATAATGAGCCAAATTTTTCACATTTATTTCCTGTTCGGGACAAGTCTTACTCTTGTAACTAATTTCATCCCTGTGATCAAAGTCCATTAAAACTACATTTTTAATTGTCATACTAAAGAAATTGATGGGTTGTTTTTTAAACTCTTTGAAAACTTTTTCAGTTTTAAAAAACCTTTTCTTCTCTAACATAGGTTTCATATTATCTCCTAATGGTATTGAAAAAGTTAAAGTCTTTCCTAGATGTACAATATGATTTTCTACCATAATATTTTTTGGATAATTCAAACACATTATCCATTTGAAAACACATCCCTCTTCTAATTTAGAATCATTTTCAGTTCCAGTTAAAGAGTCAAAGTTATTGAGCAAAGAAGTTATGTTGGCTTGTAATATGATATGCAGAGGCTTTGAAACACCGGTTTGTAAATAAATGTTATTTCTTCTATTGACATTTATATTCCTAATTATTAGATTATGAACATCAGTTTGCTTTAGACACTTCAAAACCTCATGCCAGGCTAAAATACTATTATCTGCTTCTTTTGCTGAAATACTTTTATGGAAGTAAAACCCTTCTGTAATGAAATTCACAAAAACATTGCTTAAATAAAAGTCTCTTTGTGAAGTATAATATGGAGATGGCAACTGTAGCATATTATTGTTTTCTCCTTTACCACTTAACCAAACAAAATGTATTAAAGCTTTTTGACTACCCAGTGTTCCTATCATGAGAAGCTTTGGTCGTTCTTCATATGTATTCATGGCTTTTAGATTATAATAGTCTTCTTGGCTTAAAAGAGCTGTATCTGGTAATTGCACCAAATTCCAGTTTCCTCCAATTTTCTTCTTATTTTCACATTTAGTTTGGTACTTATGCATAACCCAGCTGTTCTCCCTATTTTTTCTCAAAATATGTCTAATGTTATAGTTCTCGCTTTGACACTTTTCTAATCTGGTGGACATGCAACAGTCCAAGCATGTTTCCGCTTCTTCCCAATTTGCATTTTGCAGTGTTATAGCAAAATTCCTATCAGGATCTCTCCCATCAGAAGTGATCCTTTGGTTACTGGCCAATTGGTCCTTCCTTTCACAACATCCAGGAAACCTCTCTTCTGCGCCCACAGTTTGTTTATCGCCCAGTAACTTACGCCTCTTACCAGCCTGTCTATTCTGGGGCCAGTAACTGTCTGTGGGCCCGGTAACATATGTCTCATTTTTTATGCTCTTTTTCCTTGCTCTTTCCTTTACATAGACAGGGGACGGTTTGCTCTGTAAGTCAACTGGAAACTCAGGGAGGTGTCTGGGGCTGCTATCTCGGAAAAACTCAGGTTTGCCAATGTTCGTGCCAGGCAGGTTTTGAGATTTTGGCATTTTTAGCAAAGATGCTGGAATGTTCCTTTCCTTTTCGTTTGACCGTGTCACGCTGCCAGCTTTCCATCTGTCCTGGACTTCATGGGATGTTGGTTTCGTTTCCTGGGAAAAGGGAAGGTCCCGGGACAGATTTCCTGTGGGTTTCCCAGGACTGTTACTGTCCCCCTGCCCGCTGCCTCTCCCCGGGACCAAACCCTGCCTCCCAGCCTCGCTTTCGGGTCCCTGTATGTCATGGAGGGACAAGTCGGGCCGATGCTGCCCCGCCTCAGCTGGGGATCTGTCACCACAGACCACAAGGACACCGTCCCTGTCACAGGGCCCTGCTCCAGAGAACCTTCTGGAAGCCCTCGCACCGGAATCCAGACTTCCTGAGGGGGGAGACGGCAGACAGGGATTCCTCTCGGACCCGCTCTCTGGGCGTCCCGGGTTTCCTGTCTGCTCCCCCCGGGCGGGTGTCTCCCCTCGTGGGTCTGCGGGGCTCCCCAGCATCACGTCAGCGGGCAGGAGCGGCGCCCTGAAGGGCTTGGGCGGCAGCGCCCATGCTTTCTCCGCCTCCGACAGGCGGGGCACCAGGGGCAGCCGCCACCCCGCCCCGGGGACCCCGCCGGGCTCCTCCACGCGGAGCCGCTTGCTGCTGGGGGGCTGGGGAGCGGGGTCTGGGGGAGGCGGGGAGCCGGGGGGCGCCCCCCTGAGCGCCGCCACGGGCGGCGTGAGGCGCGTGAGCGACATGGCAGGGCGCTGAGGGGATCTGTCCGAGGTTCCCGCCAAGCTCCGGTCTTTCAGCCCAAGCGAACAGGCCCCGCCCATCCTGAGGGACAGGCCGCGCCCCCGACACGCCCCTCGAGGCCTGGCCTCAGTATCATCTTTAAGGGAAGCTCCTCCCCAGACACGCCCCCAAACGCCCCAACCTAACCGCCCCGCCCCCTTCTACGTGCCGCGCCACCTAGGCCACGCCCCCCACACTCTCCTCCACCCAAATCCGAGAGCGCCCAGCGGTGGCTCCCTCACCCGAGAGCCGCCTGGTGTCACGTGGTCCGTTGGCAGCGGCTCGGGCTATAAAGCCCGGCCGGCAACTGCCCTGACGGTTCCTTTCCTCCAGGATCTGCGTTATTTTCCTCTTTTGTGAACAGAGACGACCTGACACGTCCCATTCCCAAATTCCACAGTTTCCTCAGAGGCGAGCGGCTTTTCCAGTAAAACCTTGCAGCTGGGTTAACACCAGACCCCAGCTCTCTGCAAAAAAAAAAACAAAAAAAAAAACCTCCTTAAATGCTGCTCATCACCTCGGGGGCACCTGAAATCACGTTCCCACTTCCCTTGTCAGGTGTGTTTGGAGGGAAGGACAATATTTCAGGGCGAAGTGCGTGAGCATTGTTACCCAGAAAAGGATCAGTCTTCACATAAAGGCTGTAGAAGGGGTTTTCCTGCCTGCTGTGGGGTTCCTGTCCCCAGGATTGTGGATCAGATTACTTTAAACAAATTACATGCTTCAACTGTGCCATTCCTTGTAAGATTAAATAGTATAGTTCTGGCTCACGCCTAATAAGTTTCGTAAAGGTTATTTTTCTTTTCCTTCAATAATTTCCTAAAATAATTTATCATCTCCAATTCATTCCTGAGTTTTGCCAATTCCGTGGTCACAAAGTGATTTTCAGAATGTGTATTATTATTATATAAGTGTTTATTCAGAAACATGCAATTACTGTTCAGCAATCAAAAACCTCAGTCCCCTTGATGACTGCTTCAAAGTTGGGAAGTCTTTTTTTAAAATTTTTTTAGTTATTTAAAATATTACATATATTAGTACATATATCTCCTTCCCCACACACACACCCATTGACCTTCCCCCAGCCTCCCCTAACCCCTGTCGCATAAAGTTGGGAAGTCTTAGGCACCCTGGTAAACATGAATAAGAATTACAGTAATGTGAACAGGAACCCCCATTTCAGAACCCAGGGGGGCACATGTGCAAGATATAACTGACATACTACTTTAGGCAATGCAATGCTCATCGGCCTCCTGTCTTACAAATACTCTAACCATATTACGATTCCAATTCTGGGCCAGGGGAAGAAAAGCCTACTCTTGCACGAATTTTATGACGTTAGCATTTACATTCCTCCTGAGAAATGTCTGCTTACATGTGTAGAAAGCCTCGCAGTATAAGCACTTCATCAACACTCTGACTACAAAGGTGATGGTGGCTCAGAGGATCCGTCCTTGGGTTCTCACTCAGAGTGCTACTTCTCTTTATCTTGGGCTAGAGGCTCAGTGCATGAAAATCATGCACTCAGGGTGGGGGGGTCTCTCAGCTTGGCCAGTGCCCTCTTGCAGTCCTGGACCCCTTGGGGGATATCCAATGGTCGGGGGAGTAAATAGGAGGACCCTGCCACTGCCACTGCCACTGTGCTTACCAGCCAACTGGCTTCCTGCTGAGCGCACTGACCACCAGGGGGCAGCTCCTGTTTGAGCACCTACCCCCTGGTGGTCAGTGTGCGTCATAGTGACCAGTTGTTCCACCCATTTTGTCAATTTGCCTATTAGCCTTCTATAATAATAAAAGTGTAATATGCTAATTAGACCAGCCATCCTTCCAGATGAAGCAAGGGCAGCTAAGGGAAGCCCAGGTCGTGGGTGTGTGCTGGCAGCCGGAGGGAAGCCTGGGTCCCGGGTGCCAGAGGAAAGCCAGTGCCAGTGCCAGAAGCCAGGGGAAGGAAAGCCTACTCTTGCACGAATTTCATGCATCGGGCCTCTAGTTTATTATAAAAGGATTCCATTGTCTTTTTGCCTCAGAATCTCCACAATTCTGCATTCTATCCTCATGCAGTACAGTCTGTCCCCTGCCAGTGACCAGCCCCTGAGGGCTGACTTGCATGGCTAAAGCAGGTGAAATTGGTGCACGAACAGGACATTAGGAATGAGCTTTCTATCGGCACACACCACAGCTTTGTGCTTCTGGATTGATTTGTATGTAACTTGGTGTCTGAGTGTCTGGCTACACAGCTGTTCCTAGTTCAGCTCCCAAGCGTTTTCCAGCTTCTGTGTCTATTTCCACAGCACAGCTTGCCTTCCTGCGGCACCGAATTCTCTCCGCTCCTTAAACACAGAAAGCCCTCTCTGAACCGTCCTTGGGTGTATGCCAGTGCATTTGCCTCAAGTTGAAAGACAGGACCTAGGCAGACTTAGGAGACTGGAATTAAGTGGGAAATAAAAAGCGACCTAAGACCCTGGAAAACACAGCCCTGCTTCCTCAGAGACCAAGGACACGGAGAAATGGCTGTAGCATAGGAAGAGCTGGCCAGTGAGCATGCAAACCCAGCAGGGCTGGGAGAATCAGGGATGGTGGTGGTAGGGATGGCAGTGGAGGGAGGGCACAGGGCGGACAAAGGGTGTTATGGAGATGGACAGAGACTTTGCTTGGGGTGGTGCACACACACTACAGTGTACACGTGATGTTTTGTGGAATTGTGCACCTGACATTTGTATAATTTAACCAGTGTCACCTCATTAAACAATCAACAAAAAAGTATTTTAAAAAAATAAATCTTTCCAGCCAAAACCGGTTTGGCTCAATGGATAGAGTGTCGGCTTGGGGACTGAAAGGTTCTGGGTTCAATTCCAGTCAAGGGCACGTACCTTGGTTGCGGGCATATCCCCAGTAGGGGGTGTGCAAGAGGCAGCTGATTGATGACTCTCTCATCATAGTTGTTTCTTTCTCTCTCTCTCCCCTCTCCCTTCCTCTGAAATAAAAAAAAAAAATTAATAAATACATTTAAATATAGACTATAGGTACCACAGTAAGGAAGTTACAGATCCTGAATGTAATATGCCCCCAGAATTTCTCTAATTGTAAATGACTGGTTTGGTACATCCTTCATGACACTTCAGCATGTTCTGTACATTAGCAGATCTTATGAGAGGAGAATTTGTTTATATATATATGCCATAATTCCCTTAGGAAGTTTTTGACAAAGTCTTGCAGAAAGAGGAGGAAGAAGCCTAGGAAGAGGGGAAGGAATATAACAGTGGGGCACAGGGAGAGGAGTTAAGTTTCTTGCAGTGCTTGGCCACACAATTCCACTAAAGAGCAAGCCTTTTCCTAATTTTTAAAAGTCTCTCATAGGTGACTATAACTGAGGTGGGGGGGTAGAAAACAGGATGAGCACACATGATTATAATGTAATCTGACACCTATTCATTACATATAAAATACTGTTTTACATAGCACTTAATCATAACTCAAAAGTTGCAAAATATCACTTACTTTGCCTGAAGCCAATCCAGCTAGTCACCCACTTACAGCTGCACATCACTTCCTGGATCTCTGGAGACCCTTTGAGCAGTGGTTCTCAACCTTCCTAATGCTGGGACCCTTTAATACAGCTCCTCATGTGGTGGTGACCCCCAACCATAAAATTATCTTTGTTGCTACTTCATAACTGTAATTTCGCTACTGTTATGAATCAATGTAAATATCTGTGCTCTCCAGTAATCTTAGGTGACCCACAGGTTGAGAACCGCTGCTGTAGAGCTCCCAAATTCGTCAGAATCATTCCCCCAGGTGGAGGCTGCGGCCACCGCCTGGCCACCTGCCTCTGCGGCCTCCACACCTACCTCCCCTGGGCTTCTATTCCAGGACGATGTGGCTCTCGAGGGCAGGCGTGAGCCACTTCTTCCACGAGTTGGTGGAGAACCATGAGGGCCTTGAGTATCTCTTAAAGTTGCAAAACCAGCGTGGCAGCGGCATGCTCTCCAGGACATGCCAAAGCTTACCCAAGAGGAGTGGGCAAAGCTGGATGCCAGGGAGGGCGCCCTGGCCTTGGAGAGGAGCCTGGCCCAGGCCCGTGAGGAGCTGCAGGCCTGGGTTCTACCCGCAGAGACCCTCATCTCTGCGACTTCCTAGAGAGCCACTTCCAGGGCGAGGAGGTGAAACTCATCAAGAAGATGGGTGACACCTGCCTCACCTCTGCAGGCCGGGGTGGGCAAGTGTCTCTTCCAAAGGCGCCACCAGGAGCCTTGGAGCTCAGAGGCCTGTGAGAGGCCCCTCTGCCTCCCCTGGCGTCTGTCTTTTATCTGAGCTTCTCCCCGAAACTACTGGCCATTCTTTTAGCCTTCTGAAGCCCTCTCCCATGCATTGGAACAATGAAACGATAGAGCTTTTTTCAGGGGCGGGGGGGGGGGGGGGGGGGGGGGCATGTAAAAAGGCACAGGTTTTCTCTCTCTTTTTAAAAAAATATATTTTATTGATTTTTTTACAGAGAGTAAGGGAAAGGAATAGAGAGTTAGAAACATCGATGAAAGAGAAACATTGATCAGCTGCCTCTTGCACACTTCCCACTGGGGATGTGCCCTCAACCAAGGTACATGCCCTTGACCTGAATTGAACCTGGGACCTTTCAGTCCACAGGCTGACGCTCTATCCACTGAGCCAAACCGCTTTCGGCGGCACAGGTTTTCTCGTTTGTTTGTTTTTGTTGTTTGTTTGTTTTTTTAAATATATTTTATTGATTTTTTTACATAGAGAAAAGGAGAGGGATAGAGAACTAGAAACATTGATGAGAAAGAATCATCGACTAGCTGCCTCCTGCACACCCTCCACTGGGGATGTGCCCACAACCAAGGTACATGCCCTTGACCGGAATCGAACCTGGGACCCTTCAGTCTGCAGGCCGATGTTCTATCCACTGAGCCAAACTTGTTTGGGTGGTTTTCTTGTTTTTTGCTTATAAAATCTCTGATATGTAGAAACACACACACACAGAAAACTTATTCAGTTCAAACAATATTTAGTGCAGAATGTACGTACT